GCTGGTCTTTCACGCCAGTCTTATATACTAAAAAAAGAAGGCATCTAGAAAATACTCGGACATTCGCAGGGTTCCTCGATAATTCGAGAAACTAGCGCGCATGCTCCCATGGTCACGCGACTTCCGCTGTCGTAACACTACAGTGAAATAATCTTACGTCGGCAAAAACTGGAACCGATAATATTCTTCCTGTGCCTCAAATACCATTACAATTCAGCGTAATAGGCCTAGGCTACTGCCAATTTGAGCGTTATTCACTATAATATTAGATCTTTAAATGCATATATGATATAAATTAATTAGGACCATAAATTAGTCCTACAATTTCCTATACACGTTTAAAATTTACCATTTCCTAATTATAACTTATAGACCTAGGCCATGTTACTAGTATTAGGCTAGGCCTTTGTAAGTTTGCCGTTTAGTTTTGCATTATTTACCGAAAACAGGGATAATTCATCACATCAGATCTTTACAGGCCATTGTTTCCTTCTGTAAGAAATTAGAGAGATTTGTTGTGTATTGCATCATTAGTGCACATTGTAACTCAGCAGCGATATGATGCCAGTTTTCTGTTTGCGTTAAGAGCCTCGTTCTCGATTTAGGATAGCGGGCGCGAGAATAACGTGGTAGTGGACTCATACTTTAGGTTGGGGGGGGGGGGGTACAAAGAAAAAAATAAAAAGTGTAACACATTATGTAAGGAAAAATAAAATAAGTGAAATAGTGACAAACGAGGGCAGTTAACACCATACTTTTAAAATTTATTTTATAACGTCGCTTTATCAAGACAAAATCTCAATATCTTAGTCAAAGATTGCGATTGTCCAGAAAAACGTGTTTATACAAAAATTTCGTTGCATGGTTGCAATTTGTAATGGATAATTTCTACCTGTTCTGGTATTATATCATCTTACTCATATTACTTATTATTAATTAGTGTTCAAAATTAAGCTAAGTATGATTAAAATTTGTAATGAAGAGGTACTAACTATTTACAATTAAAAGGAATACAACGTTACAGACTGGAATAACACTAAGTTGATAAAACAGGTAGAATTTAAAATAAAATATCATTTTGTTCAGATTTGGCAGTTCAATGATACAGAGGACGTAGGAAAACTTGATTCAGGGTCAAACATTTCATTTCCGTTACCCTTAATGGAAATGCAATGGGAGAATATAAACAGGACCATGCATTGCAGCAACAACCATTGTTCTGCAGTTTTTCATACTCTCTCTAGTGATCCAAAATATTTCTTACCAAATGGTTCATTTTCTTTTGAGGTGAGTAATAACTAATTATAAGTCTAAATAACCATGTCTCTATTAAATAAGCTTGTGTTGAGTAGCTAGTCTAAACAGAGAAAGCCCATTCAAGTTTTCAGTAAAAAAGAGTGCATAATGCATCTCTTTTACTGATTCATTGAAATCTAAAATTCACTACACTGATGACATTCATGTAGGCAGCATAATACATATTACTAAATCTGACATTCTGAGAATGGTGATACTGTCAACAGACATTTAAAAAAATAACTAGAAGGTTACTATATTATTAATGTATCGTATAGTTTTAATTTCTAATGTTAATTTACCAAATTCCACTAGATCACTTGATAGTTCTTAAAAAAATGTATAAACACTTGGATATGCAAATGAGTCATTTGTATAAACTGAATTTTTTGCATGTTGATGTAAATTCATGACATCATATATAAAACCAATACAGTTAAAGAGTTTGAAATTCCGTGTAGTTGAATCACTATATTCAAGGTAATAGAGCAAGTTAGTTACTGCGAATACAACTGTAAACAGTTATTTACCCAAAAACCCATGTGTGCAACAACATATTGTTTTCAGACACTTCCAGAAGCAGCTTGATTGTTTGTGTTTATCCTATTTTCATAATATTTGTAATTTCATTTAAGATGTTTGTAAGGCATTGGTGCTGTGGCAAATGCTACAATGACTGAATATGTTTGACCCTAAAATATTACGAAAAACACTAGTTCTATTAATGTTACTGTTACTATTTAGATAAAAAAAATATATTTGTGAAAGTAAAGTACAATAAATAAAGCTTAAACGATAAGTTACTTTAATAAGAAGAAAATTACAAGAAAAAACAATGCAAACACAAATGTCAAAATAAGTCTAAAATGTATGTAACATAATTTATTTATGATTAAGAGTAATCTTCACAGGCTTATTCTTTGAAAACTACAAATAGGTTGGCAAAATCAAGTTAAGTTTCAGTGACACGTAATGTTCCATCAAACTTTAGAAAGCTTCTCTTTGTGTGGCATCTCAAAAATATCAGAAACAGATCATTGGGATCAGTGCTAGAGCTAGGTAATTAATCAATATAATTGGTTAGCTATGAGCATCTACTACATCAACTAGTGTCATATAAAATAATGAAAATAATGATTAAACCAATTAATATCACAAGAATAATCAACTAATCAAAATTAGTGTTTCTGTTTACTCCAAGTATTAACAAAAGTCAAATATTGTCATTATGGTTTTTCATTATTTTTTGTATTAATTCAGAGTTGTTCAACTTAATTATTTAGTGTCACAATTCATTAAAATAATCAACTAATTAAAATTAGTGTTTCTAGTTGTTATTATTATTATTGTTAATTATTCTAGCCCAAGTCTTGTGAGAATAATTGATTATCAAATTATAACACCTCTAATCAGTTCCATAGTACAAATATACTGTAAAATTTGACATTTAATTAAACTTACCTTTCAATTAACTTGTTTTTCTCTATGTTGTAAGCAGTTTTTTTTAGATACACAACAGAATGCTTTTCTACTGTAATATACTTTTACCCCAGTAATGTCATCTTCAGTAAGTGTTACATAATGGTATTTATAGCCAACTTCTTCAGTTTGTTTGAAAAGTTGTTATTCATGTTTCATTACATCACATACGATACTATACTGAAACTCGTATGAACTGTGTATACACACAAACACACCATATTGTGAAGAAATTAAGTTCTGCAGACTTAAAACATTTTCAGATACCATCAGGCTTTGTATATAACCCAAAATTGATAATTTTTGTTTCATTATATAGTACATTATTAACATTTTACTACTGTGATGTTATACATTGGTCTTCTGGACAACAGGTGACTGCTCATTCACATGATGGAAGGAGCAATATATTACCTCATTTGGACCACACTGCTAACAGTTCTCAGCTCAACATTGTGTTGAATGGAATGAATTCAGAGTTTAATGGGAGTCGTTTTGCCTTGGAGTTTATATTAATCGGTTCCGACACCATAACCGAGAAAGAAAGTAATGTAGAAATTGAAAGCCAAAAATCTATTGATGATGAATATACACCTGGTATTTTTGAGGTAAGAAAATTTTTATTCTCTAGGTTATAATTGCACATTGAAATGTTTTCTTTTGATTGAAGTTTATATAGATATAATGATAAGACAATGCTTTTATATTAGGTTAGGAAACTTAATCTAATTGGGTTTTAGTATTTTCTGTTAATTTTTGTGTATTAACCAAATGTGCATGGGGTTGGTACATGTAGAAGGAATATTAACTATAATTACAAATTTATTATGTGTATCTACATGAAACGTGGCAAACTTTGAGTAAAACATGCAAGTCTGTTGTACATAAAAAAAGTCAGATGTGTTACAAAAGTAATTGTAGTTAAGATATGTCTGTGAATTGATGAAATCAGTCTGATTGAGATTATAATGAGTTGGAATGCAAGGTGATGTTCGTGTGAAGAACATTTTACAGTTTGTATATTGCATTTGTATAACCTCTAGAACCTACAAAGTGCACATCTACATTTATTTTTTCAGTAACTGTGTATTTTATCTGGTATTTTCTCTCCTCTACCATGAACTGTTGGTAAGCCAGTAGAGTTGGGTGAAATAAATATTTGGTAACTCTGACATCAAATACATCATATCATGTTGAGTGGCACTCTTTAAAAGTTTGTGCTCTTTATCCCCCACCCATGCACACAGCTGAAATAATATTTTAACTTCTTCCTAATAAAAATTTAAGTCTTGTTTTCCTTGAACTTTGCTTTCCATCATTTGTGTGTATGATGTTTAAACAGTAGTTTAAAATAGTTATATTTAATGGTACAATAATTTTTGTTTTTGTTTTTTTTTGTCTCCAAAAAGAAAATTATTAAAAAATATTAATACTACTCATTTTATATAGAAACCCAGTTTTTATAATTTTCTATGAAGGATAATAATTAAACCTTGACTATTGATTTAATGTATACTTTTGTCCTTCAAAGTTTTGATAAATAATGCTCAATACTTTATGTAAAGCAATTCTTAGTCTAAAGAAAAATTAAAATAATTCTGACATGATTGCTTAAATAAATTTTTTTAATCTAAGTTAACCCTTTTGCTGCGGGCTTGTGCAAATTGCAGAAATCGAGTTGCGAATTTCACTGGTACAACAATACATGCAATATCTCTGAGATTTCTTAATGTATCCTCTCAAAAACTGTTAAGATTTTGTTAAAGATCATAAGTATCTTGAACCCAAAGAATGACATTATTATAATTAAATGTTTTTACTAAAAATATGTTGTTTTTCCGTTGCAGTTACTTGCACTCAAACTATTAACAAATCGAGTGTAAGGTGATTTTAATTTTAAGTATTAAAGTACTTTACTTCATCTTATAGTTCTCATATTTCATTTGCGTAATCTCTAGACCCTCCTAAAAGGATATCAAGTAAAGTAAATGTTTAATTTTATTTTTCATTTTCTATATCATATCACTAACTTTAGCTATTATCATCAATGTACAGTGCAATGAAATAACTAAAATTAGGAAATAGACAAAAAATACATACCTTTTAATTTTTTATAGAATATCTTTAAAGATTTTCCTTTTGTTAAATTTGTAATTTCAGGTCTTTTTCCTTTTCACATATAGTTCATTTTTAACGTTTTATTTTCCTTTACCACTTATTATTCACCTCGACACAAGTCAACAGTGTCCTTGAGGCATATTGCAATTTCTTTAGGAGTAGTAGTATCAATAAAAACTTGTTTCCAAACCAAAAATGTTTCTACGTCATCTTTGTCATTCATGAAGAGCATGTATTCATGATGTCAGTATAATATGTAGGTTCAAGAAGTCTTAATATAAAATGATAAAAACCTATAACCAGTTTGCTTTCGAAAGGTGATCCTTTCTTCTTCAGTGTGCCTCTGAATAAGAAAAGTCCACCTTTCGAAAGCACTCAGGTTATAGGGTTTTTATCATTTTATAAAGAGTATTGTCATGATACAAGTGCTTTTTCTTGGGGAGTGTATAAGAAAGCATTAAAGAACAAATCTCATTTTGACAGATTATATAGACTATTGGTGGTTATAAAACTTGAAATCCATTATTGCTAATGAGTGAGTACATCTTTGTATGGATGTACTCAAAGGTGGATGTGATTGTATAATGGTATTCTACACATTTATCGGAGTATTATTTGTTCAATAAAACCTTAGAATATAAGAAAGATAAATATTTATTCTACTTGAAATTTATAGTTAACTAAAAAAAAAGTTTTAGATCAAAATGTAAGTATATGAAAATTTAAATTCTTTACTTTGGTTTCAGATGTCAATTGGTTATTTTTGCCATTTTAAAGAATATGAATTTAATTTTTTTTAATCTGCAAAGATTGAGAGTTATAATTTATTTTCAAAACTATGGACACTGACATTACAAGCCTACTAAAATGCTTTTAAGTAAGAGCCAGGAGTTTTTGCTGCTACAATTTTTATTGTCCATTGTTATATGTATATACAACAAAGAATGTCTTACTATTACATGCATTTAAAAAAAATATTTTTACCATAAAATACACTGAAAATAGGTGATGTACTTGACTTTTGTTTTTCAGAGAGATGTTTTGATGACCCCAGCTTCACATTTCACTGGCTCGGGAGGATATTTACAATGGAAACCAGTTTGTTATACTAAAGATGAAAGAACAATAGCACATTCAACAGAATCGTATAGTTATGGCATACAGAAAACTAATAACTCTTTGCCTTTCAGTATTACAAAAGCTTTTTTTAACTCCTCTCTTCCTCCCAACTCATTGTCAGCATTTAATATTTCTTTTGGCTCTAGTGGAGATGGATTTTATCTAAAAACTAATTACACCTCGTGGTAGGTATATCATTTTGAGATTATTATTTTTAACAAACGTTTTCTAGCTCCCCCCTCCCCAAAAAAAAGTATTCATTTAATAGTTTATTGAAGAAGTAGAAGTTCAGTTAAAATAATACAATAAAGGACAGTTCTGACATATAGACTTAGATTTTCCTTTTATATTTTTTACAAAACTAAATGAAGTTGCTTGTGAAAGGTAGCAGTTTAAAAACTAGATGGAGTTCCCACAAGATCGTTGAATAATATTGTGAAGTGCATAACATGGTGTTAAAGTATTTACTTTTCATAGTTTAATTAGCACAATGTTGCAGTTTCACTCTAGTCTTGTACTAAATCTTGCTTATAACAATATTATCTAAGAAATTATGAAGATTTGTCTGTTAATGTAATAATTTTTAAAACACTTGTTCTAATGTCAGCATAGTATTTTAAGATAATTGTACTATTTTAATTCAGCATTTCTATACTGGCAGCTCGTCACTTACAAAATCTCTAATTTTATGAGAAGAAAAAACATTTAAAAAATGCATCTAATGTAAATAATTTCTTCTACGTAAACAAAAATTGTTTATCACCTACAGTAATTTTATAGGTGTTACTCCATTTTTACTCAACCGGTTTTTGTTTATTGTATTTCTTCACCTTTGTTTTTATTTTTTCTTGTAGGTCAATGACTGTAGGATATGGCAGACCTCCTTCAGATCAGTTTTCATTGATGATTATTCTCATTATTTCTATTGGATTAGGAACTCCATTAATTTTAATGGTTGTTTGGGGGGTGGGCTTTTGTGTTCAAAAATTCACGCGTAAACAAGATGACTTGCTTTTAAGCAGTGATTGAAGGTAATTCACTTTGTATGTAAATAGAATTTCTCAGTAAATGCCAAAGAGCAAGAGAAACTAAAATAAAGAGTATTAGTGTTACCTAGATGTAATCCACTTAAAATAGATACAACATTTTGAAATAATTGCAAGGTGTTGACTTGATAAATTATTAGGTTTTTAGGTGATGAAATTTAAGATCGTCTTGAGAAAAAAAAATATTTGTGTTCAATAATAACAGTCCAATTACACATTTCAGCAGTCACCAAAAAGTATTGTTTATATTTCTATTGAGATAAAATGAAAATATGGGATTTATAGATGCTCTTTTTTTTTTTTATGATCTTGAAACTGACTTCTGAAGTAATAATCTTTAATATATGTGATAATATATAACGATTGCCGGATATGTGTATGTATCCATCCTTAGGAACCTGGGACTATGTCTAACAGCCTTAAAATTTTTTTTTTTTTCATATCTTTCAGTTTAATGTTATGTAAGGCTTTTCTCACAAATATGTTTCACATGTGATTACCTGTGCTGATACTAATGTGTGTTTTTATAAGTTGTTTACTCAAGACTTTTTGATAAGTATATTTTTTGTCTAACAGTATGCAGAAGATTTTGCTTATATGTGGTTATTTGAGTATGATTTAATTTTTTTACCTGAAATTAACTAGAAGAGTGGTCAAGATAAACAGAAACACTCAATTGTGAATAATTAATAATTATATTTTTATAAAAGAATAGCTGTGGCATTTGTATTAAATTGTAATGAAACCACATCTTTGAGCATTTTTTCTTAAAAAAAATTGAATTTATTCAAAACTTTCGGTGTGAACATAAGTATTAAATCCTAAGTGGCATAAAATTGTTATTATTAGTATTTTGTCCAAATATTAAGCATCATTTTTAAAACAATATAATTTTTTTTTACATTTTGCAATCACTGAAAAGGGCAAAATTTTACTTATCAATAATGCATGGATACAATACCCTTTTTATTTGCACTAAAGAATTTGAATAAACCTATACATTCCTTTGTTTCCTTGAACCATTGTTTTATGTATGTTTAGATTTGCAGTGAATTCACTTCAGTGTTCAATATGACTGTATCCTTCATTCACAAACTTTAGTAAATATTAGCACAATGAATGATAAATAGGACTACTGTGTAAAATAAGATGTTTTTCAAATTACCTGTAGAAAAATATTTTGCAAATTCTAAGTCAATAATGTATTGCAGAAAAGTGATGCCTTATATATATTGGAAGTTTTTTTTTTTTACTCTTAACACAGTGCACATTGAATTAAAGCAGAATCAGTCATAAGATTATCAATCATCTGTTATTTAAATGTTGTAAAAGTGCATATCCATGTACTCATAATTTTGGGCCACTTACGATTTTTAATTACTTAAAAAGCTGTAGGATAAAGTTGAAACCATAGATAGTAGAAAAAGTTTAACTAAATCCCTTTCTTACATTTTACTTGGTTACATTAAATCTGTGGTAGCAAGCTAAATACTATTCTGTATAACATAAGAATTTGTACACACATTTTTTGTTATTCTTAGTCTTAAATATTACTCATGAAAGTGTGAAGAACTTATGCATTTAAAAGTATTTTTATAGTAGTATCATAAAAATATTTCTAGTTTAGAAATGATGAAACATGCAATGCAACAAACATTCTGATAGGTTTCTGAAACAATAACTATTCAATACAGCAAGCAAAATTCGATTTGGTTTTGTTTTAAACTGTGTATTTACCTTTGGTGACTTTATTAGTATTAAATTTATGGGTCTTTGGATGCCTGACTTACTAAGCTGTTTAAAAAGTTGGTAAATAAAATATAGTAAGGCCAAAGCTGTTAAATATATTCTTCATTCACATCTAATGTTTAGTATGGCAGTTATGTGGCTTGTGAACTGATTTTTATTACACTTTTCACAACAGTAGTTTTGGGATAAATAGCAAAATGGAAAATTCTGGTATTTTGTTTTAGGTTTACCTGAATGTTTTTTTTTTATCTATTTTTTCAAAACTTGTGTCAAAAAGTAGATACAAAGAAATCCATTGGCACAATATATATACAGGCTCTTCACAAGTATGGTAAGTGGTGTGGGTGTAATAGTATGTTAAATCTACTGTAAAAACATAGAATTGTGCTTGATGCTTTGTCATGGTTCATTTATATCTTGTTTGTGCTCTGTATGAAGTTATTAGAATTTTTATGTTAGAAGAATATGGGATATCTTTCTCTCTCTCTCTCTCTTCTTTTTTTTAATATTAGGAATTTACTTTTGTTATTTTGAAGTACAACTAATTCAAGGATAAGAATACCCAGTGAATGAATTATTCCATTTTCCCATCTGTAACATGTATATCCTCTGAATAATTTACATTATAAATTGTTTCATAATATTTATTTAAATCTAATAAAAAAAAGTCTTTTGAACAACAAATAGCTAAAACTTTTTTTGTAGCTGATCTTAAGGGTAACTTTAAATACAGGCTTATTTTATAGCAATCCAAAAATTACTTAAAACGTTTGGGTACTTTCAGAGTGTTGTGGATTTTTAATTAGTAGCTTACTTTTACTCCTGCTAAAGAAAGAAACAACTTTTGGGAAGAGCTAAAAAGTTTTTGATTGTTATCATTGCTTTATACTGCTATCTTGTTCAAAATGTAATTGTATTTTAATTTTAAGATATTTAAGTGAGAATTTTTCTTTCATATTTTTTCTGATGCTGAAAGGTTGTCCAGTGTTTCACAAAATTTATACATATAACCTATTAGATATATTTCACAAGGTTTCTGACATATTTTCTATTTTTGCAATTCATGTTTTAACATCAGTCATTCGTACCAAGGTATATCTCTACCCATTCTGACAATACACATATTCATTATTCAGTCTCGGAAACATTTGTAAGGATATTTTTTTCATCTGTAAGTGAAGACAAACCACAGTGTTCTGAAATGTATAGAAATCTCTTAAAAACTTGAAAATAATTAAAAAGAGGCAATCATTTAAAAAAATAAAATCATCAACATAAAAATCAATAAAATTAGATCTTTGTTTGCTTACAAGTTTAAAGTGTCAACATTCAAAGTGTTTTACAGATTTGTTCCTATATTCTGAAAACATTACTTCATACAAGAATAAAATAGTATTTAATTTTCACAAAATTGTAAGTTTCTTAAATTATGGAATACACACTTAATTTTTAGCACTGAAATTAAAATAATGAATATTGTTTTTATATATGATGATTTAGAGTTAAATTTTATAAGTGGGTTGTGTCAAATAGTTCCCCTATTTCATATTATGTAAGAAAATGTAACCATCTTGGAAATTTTCGTTCTTGCGTGGTCTTAGAATACATTTATGTCTTGCACGTATTTATGGTGTAGGAGGCTTTGTTAAGTATTCAACTCACGATTTACTTAAGACAAATATTAATAAATTACATTTAATTGAAAACATTAAAAATGTGAACCACTTGTTCAGCTTTTGGATAAATTGTCTGGAGATAAATGCTTTGGAAAATCTTGTGGCAACTGTGTATAAGAAGAATCTCAAAAGTGCTCTTGTTCACAAGTGATAGAACAGTATTTTTGGTGAAGATCTTAGCAAATGATGCAAAAAGAATATGAATAAAATATGTAAATGATAAGGTTGAACAAATGTAATAAAAGTTTCTAACTAAATATTGTGTAAAAGGTTTGCAGTTTAAAATTGTCAGGATTATCTACAAGTTGCTTTAGCTTTTTAATGTGACTGAGATTTTCTAAAGAATATATTTTGATGACAAATTGAACTTCTTAAAATGATTTATTGTCAATTGATGAATAAGGTGGCATAAAACAAAAATAGTCAATATCCATAAATGATTTAAAAACAACACTTGTGTAAAGCATCTATTGTCAATTATAATGAATACAACGTTAAAATCATTACACAATAAATAGTTATTAAAAACAGGGACTTCCCCTAAAAAGCTACATGTGATTCAGTGTCCTATGACACCATCTTCAAGAGTAACAATAAAGGCATGGTTGGGACTTGTATACCCAAATAACCATTTACATACCAATAATACCATCTAGGCTTAAACTCCTCAGAGTTACAAAACATCTGTCCAGTACTTTATTGTTTCTGAAGCTGGATCAGCTTTCTTGTTTAATACAGTATCTTTGTTGTTATTTTTTCAATTTCAATAGTTTCTCCCATGCATTTAGTTCAATAAAT